TATATTCATGAATTAAAGCAGTGAATAGTAGTCATGGTGCATATCATCATTCTGAAAGTTTAGTAAAATGGTGACAGTGTGGACCTTGATTGATTCTTCTTATATTCATCATTGAATTTTTTTAGAAATTCTTCCTCCAAAGTGGTGTGTGTGTGTGTATATATATATATATTCATACACATAGGTAAGTTAACCGTAAGTGTTGCCTTTTTGTTTATTTCCTTGGAAACTACAACAGATAGAGCAAAATGGAAACAAAATATAATGTAATATCGGTGGGAAGGTTTGACCTCTGTTGCCATACCACCAACATTTGCCCTGATGTCATGGGCCAATATAATAAAATAAGGGGCGTTATTTTCAGAGCATTCATTGTTTATGTATCTTCACAAACAACTGTGAAAACTGTTATTCCTGCCTTGACTTAAACTGCCTCAATTTTTTCTTTTTGACAGCTGTGGTCAATAGATGTTGACCAAAAGCTGTCAAATTTCTTGAGAAATGATGAAACTTTTTTTTTCTTCAGACGAGAGTTATTTTCTTCTATCTTGGGAAATCCTTCCCATTAAATTGACAGTCTTCAAACAAATTTTTAGCTTTAATTGCTTGAAATTGTATGAATACACAAACTAAAGTGCCCCTCTCTAGGATAACAGAAGTAAAATTAACTAGGATATTCAGAAATGTTGTCTTCTTTGCTGATTGATTGCAGTTCTGTATTTAAGTCAGTTCTATGAGGGCAATGTTGGGCATTTCAGAGGATAATGGAGAAAAGCAGTCTTTGCTCCATATAATGTGCAAAAGAGTGAGAATAATATGGGAAAAGATGGTTGTTAAAGATTCTAACTTGAAATGCTTTAAGCTGAAATTCCCACACTTTAATTTTTCCTTCATATTTGAAGGAATGACAAAACAGTAATTCTTCACATATGAAGAGTGTTGAGATTTATTTATTTGTTTGTTTACTTATTTATTGCTTCCTAATTTTTTTCTAGCTCCATTTTTGATCTGGAAAAGAAATACGTGATAGACATTAAAAAAAAAAAAAAAAAAAAAGCATATCAGCTTATCAAGTCCTATGGCCTTGATATATAGGATATATGTGATCTCTGTAAAAAGTTTTTCTCCAGATCTACATCTTTAGTTTATGGAGTGAATTGAATGGATGAGGAATCTATAGGAATTGTCGTTACTCCCTCATTAAGGCTGCTGCAAATGTATCTCACCAACACCTGCTCACACTGTAGACTGTGGGAGGTAGTGCCACTGTAATGTTGACAAGGAAACTATAGCATCGCCTCTAAGAAAATCTACATGGTAGCTGCAGATGACAGAGACTTTTCTCCTTCCTTCTTTTTGAGAGAGTGCATGTTAGACCTAGTGGGCTCTCAAACAGAACTTGAGTTGACAACAGATTTAACCCATCCTTTTCAGTCTATTGTTGAATGAAATAGTGAGAATTATACATGATTCAAATTTAAAAGCCCAATGTTGCAAATTCTTACTCAAAGTCATTTTGTGTCATCATTCCTGAACATAAAAAGCTTCTTTCCATGTCCTGTAGCAATCCATACTATTTTGGAAAACGTACTTACTGTGGTGTACAAGTGTCACATCACAAAAAATTCCTCCAATGGAAATAGGTGTATGAGGAATTATTTTCTGGAGAACCACTACAGAAGGAAAGTCTGTCACCACAAGACTGCACTGAGGGGGGATACTCGCCACCTCACTTGACTATCAACCACATATAAGAAACCCGTATCAACTTTATGGCATTTAAATTAATTCAGAGGCAAAATGAATCCTCTGCAATTAGAATTAGTACAGCCAGACATTTCTGTTGTAATCTCTTCATAGTTTCATTTATTTCCATGAAATACATGGAGGGATTACATACTGTCTGCATAGCATTTTCATGTTCGTTGTTAAATATTCAGGATGTATCTGCCTTAGGGACAATAGGATGTGGGATTCATCTCATTACCAATGCCAAATATAATCAGAAGGCAACTTGCTGCTTTAATTTTTTGAGTACTTATAGGTATTGTTGTAGTTAAAGTTATCACGTGATCATTTAGAAAAAAAAGGGGACTAGTTGTTTTTCCTCTAGTATATCTACCCATTGGCAATGAGTAGTTAGGATTAAAAGCTCCTTTTAGCCCAAGGCTATAATGAATATTCAGGAAAAAATGAATCTGTACTGCTGTTTGGGGAAGTAAAAAGACAACCTCTGTAACATTAAAATCTCCTGTGCCTTTGGAATAAACAAGCAATATTTGATTAAGAACAGGAAGACAGAAAACACAGTGATGTTCATCTCATACCAAAAGAGACTACATATGACATTAAATTACCAACAGATTCCTGTAGATACAGTGCATGAATCAGTATTATGTCTTAGCTGACAGTAACTTCATAAAGTTTCATTTAGATGGTTAAAAAACAAACAAAAATAAAGGTGCAGCAGGTAAATTAAGGGTGGTAGCAATAGATGTTCAAGTCCATCAAAGTATTTGGTCATTCCGGATTAACACAAGCAGCAAAACTGTGGTACAAATTCTGTATCAATTGCACTGCATAATCATTAATAACAAAACTTAAAAACCTAAATATGTGTAATAGAAGCGTTAAAAAATGGACTAGCTTAAGCAGAATAATGTTTTAGTTGATTGCTGATTTGCAAATGAAAATGCCCAATTGTTTTTACAGCTCATAGCTGCACATATAGCTGATTTTAAGTATCAAGCCATTTAGAAAATGCTTCTTAACTTTGCAGGCTTCACAAATCACTTTTATCATGATAAAAGTTACAGGCATTGTCATAAAGTTGAATTGGAGTAAAAAAAAAAAAAAAAGAAGTATTTATAGTTATTTATATTGCATTTACAGTGACATAAGTATTTTTAGGGGAGATTTTTGTAACACAATTTATGTGCCTCAGGGTCCATTTCCTTACAAGTTATATTCTCATCCTTTGAATGTTTTATAAATCCAGTCTCTGCTAAGAATGATTAAATGGACTTTGTAAATTGGCCTGAATCAGCAAAATATGTAAGTAAATTTAAGTCTGTATATGACCGCTTTAAAACTAGTGATTGGTATCAGGTTATTTACCTTGTTAATTTTGCACCTGAGTTTAAAACTGTTCTGAATATGATAAAAATAAAAATTCCTAGAAAAGTTAAATTTAGAACTGCATTTCAAATTGGGATAATTTTTTAGTCAATGATTGCTCTTAGAAGTAAATTCTGTCTTTTTGATCACTTAAATCTTTCTCAAAAGCTGTCTTCTAGTGTGAACTCTACAAATCCCTCTCTGTCCAAAGATAAACTCTTAAGGACTGGCTAAACTGTCTTAGATAGGGTGGAAAATGGGCTAATGTGAACCGAAGAGGTCTGTTAATGAGTTATTGTTGAATGCAGATTAAAATAACTAAAATTTTAAAGTGCTAATGTGTGTTGGAATAAGATTTTATGTGACAGCACTACAGCCATCATGAAGTCAGCATAATGAGTTATGCAGTGTCAACATTATTGTGGGGTTTTCTGAGGAGAATTATTTACATGAGGAATATACAATTCACATCTTCTAGAGGGTCTCTCATTTCTGCATTGAGCCTCAAGAAATCTTAAAAGAGAAATTAAAGTCAAAGATGCAACTACTTTCATACTGCCAGTGCAGTGTTCATCCATATTTCATCGAAGCTCATGAGTAGGGAGATGACCATTTCTATTGGAATGGCTCTGCTAAGTCTCAAGATTTTACTATTCACATCCAGCACTGTGTACTCTCTTGGAATGCAGCCTCTATGTTATGTTTGCATTTTACTGCTGATGTGGAATGACAAAAACAGCAAGAGAACGTTACCTGTGTGTTCACTAAACTGAAAAGATTCTTGATCTGCACTGGATTGTTTTAAGCTAAACTTCATTTAGCTTTATCCCATTTTCATAACAATGCAGCTTTCTGAATTTTTACAATATCCAAATGGGAGAGAATTTTTCTTTTGTGACAGACCTAATTATCTGTGAGAGTGATAAAGATTTAGCAAATGTAAATAATTGCTGCAATACCAATTAACCTACCCACAGGTTATACTTGTAGTAAATCTTGTAACAGTTCTTTTTCTTGAATCAGGTTGTGCATCATGTTCTGCATGCTTTAGTGCTGCAAATTTTAAGATATTTGTTGAAAAACATTAATAGGCAACAGGGGAGGAAAAAAAAAAAAGTGAAAAACAAAAAACAGCAGCACACACCCTAATAATATTGGAGAATAATTGAGCCAGAATGTGTGCCAGAATCACAGTGTCAGTTTCACTGTGGTGTTTTCATTGCAGAGGATAGCAGAGGATAGATTACTGTCTGCATGGTACCCATAAGTGAATTAAATGCCTGGAAGTCATAAAAAGCAAACAACTGATTTTGATTTTGTGCTCTAAAAGAGCAGATTTTGATCTTTCATTTACATTTTGGATGTCCCGAGTTAGTCTGCCTGGTCAGAAAAGAGTCCAGAAATGCTGAATTGCATTCTGATAGCCTTTCAACCTTGACTCATCCTTATTGTTCTGATCAAGGCACAATCAGCCAATACTCAGAGTTGCATTATTTGACATGATTGTGATTATTTTCATCTCACCTTACGTAAAGTAAGCCATTAAAGTTGAATAGTAATATTTAAAATATATGGATAAGGACACTCTCTTTCTGTCCAAAATATATTGTTCCTAACTCTGGCAAGGGAACATTTTGTGATGTTGTTGTCTTGTGCAAAAAAGGAAATTTTCTTCTTTTCATGGGCTAACCTTTCTGTAATGAATATGCAGTTACTAGATGTGTCTTAAATAAGCTAACTAGTGAGATGATGTTTGGTCCCAACGTGTAATTTCAGAAAATCACAGTACAGCCACTTATAGCAGTGTTTTCTATTGCCTTGATATACCTTTTGTTCATATTACTTTTAATTATGTTCTATATTTATCTGACCTATTTGAACAGGATCCAGAGCTGGTGCGGAACATCTGTCGCTGGGTTAGACAAGCTGTTCAGATTCCTTTCTTTGCCAAGCTGACCCCAAATGTCACTGATATTGTGAATATTGCAATGGCTGCACAGGAAGGTAACTGACTCCACTGCACAAGCTGTGCAGATTTACTAATCTGCTGGATGTGGAGGGGACATGGGAGACTTGCAGAAATAATAACAGATAACAGTATTAAATACGAAAACAATTTTTGTGATGTTTAGATGAATACTGTGATCAAATGTTTCTTAATTTTGTTCACGTTTTATTATAGAATACAGCGATATATAAAGATAATTAGATTAGATTAACATTAAAACATAATTTTGTTTGCTCACTCATATTTCTATTATTGTTTTCATATGTGTTTACCACACCACTGAACTTTCCCTTATTCTTATGTTTAGTAGTAAAAATAGTGTGTCCTGAGAAATGAGATGCAACATTTGAGGGCATATATATTTTTTTCCTTCCTTACAGCTTAAAATACAGCAGGGTAGGAAAATAATTTAAAAGTAGGTTTATTAATCCATCTCTTAGAAACAGTCGTTCTTTATCTGTTGAGTATTTCTCACAGTAAGAACATAGAATAAGGGCTGCCTGGTCAATAAAGAGCTGCTGTTGGCAGCTTGGAGGGGGTGCCCTCAGTGTTGGGGTGTCTTCCAGTGTCAAACAGCCACTGTAGTAGATTACAACTCACACAGCTGAACTGCAGAGATCTGCCTGTCTCCCCCTATTTCCTTGGTGCAGTCTTGTAACCTTAACACCTCTTTCAACTGATGCAGCCTGCTGAAAAGCTAACGTTAAATTAGTCAGCCCTGGACTGGTTTTGAGGACACTTCTGCGCATCCCTGTACAGTTTGTTGCTTTCTGTCTTCAGCTGTTTATTTGAAATTCTAGTTATTTTACAGTTTCACCGTTTTTCTGTTGTATTTTTTTCCTCTCTTGTTCTTATACTCATTATTTAACAAAAAGTGACTGACCTTCCCTTTCACAGGTGGCGCAGATGGTGTTACAGCCACCAACACAGTGTCAGGACTGATGGGACTGAAAGCAGACGGCACACCTTGGCCAGCAGTTGGTGCAGGACTGAGGACCACATATGGTGGCGTGTCAGGTAGGTGTTGCCCTTTTTGATGCATACTGCTTCCTTGGAGGCTTTCAGAACATCAGGAGGTCCTTGTAGTGGGCTAGAATATCATGTCTGCAGTCGCACCGAGTCCTTAAAGCTCACTGCTGGTCAATGTTTCTAATAGTCATGACAGATGGAACAGATTAAGTGTGAAGGCTCTTGTGTTGCCCTTTCCTTAATGGTAAAAACGCTGCATCAGAATACTGTGATAGGGTCACTGGAGAGGGAGCAAAATCTCTTCTCTTGTGACCCTTGCTTTTCCTCAAATTTTTCATTCTGTCACAATTGTCAAGCCCCGCGTTAGACAGAGGCTAATGAAAGGGCATTGTAGGAGGAAATATCAACAATCCAAATGCAGTGTATATTTCATAGCCCGAACTCTGGCTTATCCTCCTGCCTTCCCACTGAATGCACCTCTTCAAAGTAGATTATTTCATCCTCTTCCTACTGTGGGAAAAATGATATATCGTATTAGGCAAATATATGCATTTTCTGTAGTTTATTCCTTGAAATATATATTCAGAACTTGCATAGACCGTATTTCCAAATCTGCTTCACAGTTTAATTTTAAAACCAGCAACAAAACTCTTACACTCCAGTTCAGTGCTTTTGCACACTAATGAATTAATCTATTGACCCTATGCACTCTGTTGCTGTGACAACATGAACTTGGCCCTGCAAAGACAATACTGTGAACTTCTTGACTTCACTGGTATGGAGATTAGTCTCCTTGGTGATAGAGGTAGCAGTAAATAAATGTAACAGAAGTAATAGTGTCCTCATGATTGTCAAACATTATTTTATCAGGCCCGCCTCTCACTGCACCCCAAAAACATAATCAGAAAAAATCAAACAGGCAAAAAAAAGGCTTTATTTTATGCAACTGATGTTATCCTTAGAGAACCATAAGAAATGCAGCAAAAGACACCGTTTAAACAAACTTTAATTCAGACAAGTATGTTCATTGTAAAATTGCTTTATTGCCTTAGATAACTGCATGGAATTTGGAATTTTTTAGAGAACGCTAAAAGGCAAGAGGCAGATAACAATCAGAAAAAAAAATGTTATACCTATTGCATAATGATTATTTCACAGTGACAGTCCAATAAGATGTTATAATTTTAATATTATGCAAAATGGGAGGAAAAGGGGAACAAGGAAAGAATGGCTACAGCCCATTTCAATTTCTCTAGCCTGCCATGTTGACAGGAAAAGAATAAAGGAGGTCACAGTGGGTGCTGTGCATTAAAAATTAATAAAAGAACTATTGCAGTAGTATTTTATATAAGTAAGACCATTCACATTTTCTCATTTAAGTTGCAATTTCTGAATAATACTTCCAACCATAAGTCTGTCTAATAAAATCTATAAGATGGCTGCCGTATGAAATGTGTGTCTCATGTCACGAATTTAAAACATGCATGTAGTGTAAATTATAGTGGTACCTGGATGCGCAGCATTTCTGTGTTTTGTAATTCTGTTATAAATGAGACTCAAGGAAAAGTTCTCCATTTCTTTTATTTATATAATGTGTGGGTGCTTGTATGTAAGTATAGAAATGTATTTTTCTTCCTGAAGTTTTGCACATATCAAAGGAAATAGAAGGTGATTTTTTGGAATGCACTATTACCTATGATGCAAATCTGATGCATATTTAAAAAATATGAAAAACATTGGAAGTGCTGTTTTCAAAGAGTGTACTGTTGCAGACAAATAAATAAAGGTTTCTTGCTGGTTCTTACTGATTGACATCAGTAGGTTCCAATCCCACAACTCATTGTGCGAAAGAAAGCCACATAGCCAATAAATTCAATAGATGCTGCACACACATCGCAGTATTTCCTGCTCAGTGATCAGGGTATAATAGTATACAAATTTTCAAAACTAGGACAGCAATTTTAAATCAGGAGAGCTAGCATGCTTGTGAGAAGGCAAAAAATGGGAAAGCACTGGCCTTGTCAGAGCAAGGGGCGGGCGACCATGGTCCTGAGCTCTGTCCCTGGCCATGGCCTGCAGGCAGATGCTTGACCTTTTGCTGCGCCATTCTCCTGTCAGCTAAATGGCAGTAACACCACCTACGTGCCTACAGTCTCCCCAGAGAGTGCCTTGTGCTCCTCACACAAAAGTCGCTTTCCCATTTTCGTTTGCTTAAACTTGTTGTTCTATTTTGTTCCACTGTATTGTCTGATATAGTGAATGAGCTTTTGTTGTTTGTTTCAAATAATTCCTCTCAAGATATAATTCATTTTTAAGTGAAAGTCAATGTTGTTACAGAAGTGATAAGTTTGGGTTTTTTTCTACATGTTCTTCCAAAGCACGGCTGTTTTATGTTTTCCAGTGAGCAAACCTAGAGCAGATACAGAGCACAGCCAAGTTGTGTCTTGCTTTCTGGATTTTTTCCAATTGCACGGATTCTCTTTCTCTTCTGGCCTAGAGCTGGCCCATACGTGGCAGGGACCTACAGCACAGGAGCTGATGAGGTGAGGTCCTGCACCTACAGGGCTGTCGCACTGCCAGTGCTGTGTGGTATGGCTGCAAGAGATGGCAGCCTTCTCATGAGGGGACCTGTCGGGGTCTGGAAACCCACCGCAGCTTGCAGCTGGTTGCCCCTGGGGTCACCTGGTTGTGAGGAATGGTTCATAATGGACTTTTGGTGCTGGATTGAACTGGATTTTTTTTTTTAAAAAAAAGTTTATCTTGTGTTTCCCCACTCTCTTTATACATGACTTGTAGGAAACTCCCCAACTCCCCAAAAAAGTCAGAGGCTTTTAAAGGCCATCTAGCTCAATTCCCCTGCAATTAACAGGGTTGCTGACAGCTTCATCAGGTTCCTCAGAGCCCCATTCAGCCTGACCTTGAATGTCTGTAGGGACAGGGCACCCACCATCTCTCCCATCTGGTCAACCTGTGCCAGTGCTTCACCAGAGACAATGCAGTGGAAGTGGCAGCAGGTGGCCAATGGAATGCTTGAGGTTACCCTCAGCTCCCAGTGTGAAGGCCAACGTTCTACGCTCAGACACAGGGCAGTAGACTGGCTGCTGCCCACTGGCTGAAGGATTCTGCTAACAGCCTGAAGCAGGCTGCTGGGAGGGATGAGCAGCATGGTGGCCAGTGCTGCCAGGGACCCAGCAGCAGGGCTGTGTAGCGTTTGTGGAAGCTGGGCACTTAGAGGACAGCTGTTCTTCACCATGTCATCAATTAACAATGGCCACACATTTCTTAATACAGTGCGGCTTACCCTCTCCAGGTGAGTGTAACACTCTAGTGAGTTTGATGAAGGTTTCCATAGAAGTGCAAATAATGAAAGTCTGTTAATCTCCTTGCCTAGCAGCAGCCTGACATTTTGACTTGCAGTCTTCCCTACCTTCCGCTGTTTAAAAACGTGCTCATAGATGGTGATGTACTGAACAAAGATTTTCCATGTGCGCCTTCCCCTTGTCCTCTTTGCTCTTCATCAGCTGCATTTGAGGCAGCAATGCAGGAAGGTTGTTGTTCTTCTTCCTAGAACAGATTACCCCTGCAAAGGGATTGGCTTTTTAATTCTTTTTAGATGAGTAAGTGACAGGTTGTTTATTGTGGTTTGTCCAACATTAATAAAAACTAAAAAAACAGATTCTGAATTGTCTTTGGGAAAAGATTCATTTATCTGTTTGTTTTTTTTTGTTTTGTTTTGTGTTTTTTTTTTTTTAAAGTTCTAGCATATTATGTAAGTATTTCAAAGATGCATAGACTTAATGAGATTAGTTAAAAACCCCATTAATTTAAAGTTGTCACAATTAGTGTTTGCTTCCCGGCCAGTGCTCAGGAAGTGACCTTCCTGTTCTGATATAATTCAATCAGCTGAAAATTACTAAACTGTGAGAAGCACGGCTGTTTCCTCCATCCTACCCTGCTGTGTGGTGGGTGGTTTTGACAGGGAGGATTTCAGTATCCCAGGTGAGCGTTTGGCCACTGGACTGTAGAATTAGTCTCTCTCTATCTCCCCCTCTTCCCTGCAAATATTGAATTATTAATACAAAGTGAAACAGCTCTCACAGGATACGCAGTATCTGTAGCAAAGCCTGCTGACCTGTATGACTGTGTGATTTGGGAGACCGAGTTTTAAATCCCTGATGTGAGTCCCACCCGGGTCTCCTGGACACAAGGTTTATCCCTGACTATTGAACATGGTGAAATCTCCTGTGTTTTTCTGTACTTTCTACCTCTCTTCTGGTGCCAGAAAATCTTTGCAGGGAAAAAAAATCGCAGTAAATTTGACGAATTTGTATTTTCTGAAGAAAATTCTTTTCTAATTGGCACCACAGAGCTTCAGCTGAGCCCAAGGGCTACTGTAGCCCTTCTCATTTTTGTGGACCTGTTACATGAGAGGACAGTGCAGTTAAAGGGGCCAGGTGTTCATCCTTCTTTTTATAGGTTTCCAGGAAGTACTCCTTACTGAAAAAGTGAAAATGTCCTGATAAAGCCTCCAAAACATAACTATGGAAATAAGCCCTTGGAATGAAAGAAAAACATGGCAATTAAGATATGGCTCCCTAGACTGTATTACTATCATACCTGCAGAAGTAGAGGCATCATTTGGTTTCCATTAAGGAGCTTTTACAATTGACCCAGCAGTATTTCAGGTTTGAGAATATTTAATACATTAGATTCTTCTATGCATGCAGTAAAGAGTATTCATTTCTTAAAAAGAAGCTAATACTGTTATTTATCCTCACAATGAATAATGATCACCGTCTCTGAAAGAGATTATTTCATCGGTATAAATATATATGATTTTGAAAATGTGTTTTGTAGGTACTAGAGTAGGATGCCAGGTTTCCCAGAGAAATGCTAACATACTGTCAGCAGCTACATGCTTTCCTAACATTTATTTCCTTTAAATTTATTTTAATTTTAGAAAGCTTTTTTTGTGAGCACTCGTACCATACTTCCATATTACAGATATGTTTTATATCACACATCACATTGCAGCACTATAGGATATT